ATCTCTACAATAAATCAAAAAATTAGCCGAGTGTGGTAGTGCGTGCCTGTAGTTCCAGCTACTTGGAAGACTGTAGCGGAAAGATCGCTAGATCCCAGCAGGTTGAGGCTGCAGTGGCCGGGAGCGGCCACTGCACTCTAGTTTGGGCGACAGAGTGAGACTCCAGCTGAAAAACAAAAACAGAGAGAAATATTAATTCTTAATTGGGTGTGGTAGTGTGCTCCTGTACTTCAGCTAATTGTCAGGCTGCGGCGGAAGGATTCTGAATCAACGAATTGATGAATTCTGGTCTTTTTTTTGGGTCTCCTCCCCCCGTGTGTTTATCGTTTACATATACATGTATATATAGTTAATATCTAAGTTAACATATTGTGCTCCTTCCCTTTTTTCCAATTACATAGTTTTCAGATTCAGAATGTGCCAAAAAGGCTTTGGAACAACTTAATGGATTTGAACTAGCTGGAAGGCCGATGAAAGTTGGTCATGTTACCGAACGCACAGATGCTTCCAGTGCTAGTTCCTTTTTGGACAGTGATGAATTGGAAAGGACTGGAATTGACTTGGGAACAACTGGCCGTCTCCAGTTAATGGCAAGACTTGCAGAGGGTATGTTTTTCTTAATAGTGTGAGTGTTTTATTGTGAGATTACTGGTGAAAAAGCTAGCTATGTAAACTAAGCAATGAAAAGATTTTTTTGAGTTGGAGTCTCAGTCTTGTCACCTAGGCAGGAGTGCAGTGAGACATGCTCATGGCCACCCTAGCCTCTACCTGCTGTGCTTAGATGATCCTTTGCCTCAGCCTTCCCTCAGTCTTCTAAGTAGCTGAAACTACAGATGTATGCCAACATGCCTGGCCATTTTAGTGTGTGTGTGATTTATTGTAGAGATGTGGCTGCACCAAGTTGCCTAGTCTGGTCTTGAACCTCCATGCTTAGTCAATCCTCTAGCCTCGGCCTCCCAAAGTACTGGGATTACAGGTGTGCACTATCATGCCCAGCTGATTTTTTCTCATTTTAGAGTTGTTTGTATCCTTGAATAGCCAATAATTTTTTTTTTTTTTTTTTGGAGTTTTAGTCTCACTGTGTTGCCCAGATTGGAGTGCAGTTGCCATTCCTGGCCACTGCAGCCTCGACCTGCTGGGCTCCGGCAATCCTTCTGCCCCAGCCTTTCGAGTAGCTGGAATTACACGATGCGCTACCACACCCAGCTGATTTTTCATTTATTGTAGAGATGAGGTCTCGCCAAGTTGCCCAGGCGGGTCTCGAACCTGCAGGCTCAGGCAGTCCACTCACCTCAGCATCCCAAAGCATGCTGAGCCACTGAGCCCAGCTTATGATATGTTTTGGGGCCCTTGGCATTTAGTTTTAGTATTCTTTTTGATTTATGTGATATTTTTATCCCATATTTAAGAATAAATTTGGTTGTAGATTTTAAAATATTAGAAGTTGTCCTCATAATTTCTTTTAGTTAGGTGATTGTTGTAAGTAAGAACCCAGAAAACTTGATTTCTCTGCTCTTAACACAGTAAAGACTTTAAGACCTTTTCTTTTACAGGTACAGGTTTACAGATTCCACCAGCAGCACAGCAGGCTTTACAAATGAGCGGCTCTTTGGCATTTGGTGCTGTGGCAGGTAGGAATTGAATCTTTTCTAATTTGGAATCATTGTTTTTTCATCTAATTCGACAATTTGCCAAATTTTTGCAATTAAAAGGACTTGTACTGAGAATTCAATTCATCAAGTACTTATAGCCTCTAAATTTTTAGTCTTTCTGTAAGTAATTTTTACAGGGTAGAATTATTTACTAATCAGAATTAGCTGTCCAGATATTTTTGAACCCTGCAATCCAGATTTTCAGTTGAAATTTACATAATTTTACATCTTTTTAAGTGCATCACTTTTATTAAATGCTACAACTTATATTGTTTAGTATTATAAATGTTTTATAATGTTTGACTTCAGAAAACACTCAGAGGTCCTTATATAAAACTTTGCTTAAAATTACTAAAGTAAAGCAAGAGTGTAGAGAAAACTGTTTTCTTAAATAGTGCATCTGATTTTTGGATTATGAATCGGGCAATAGAGTTTTTAGAGCAGGAAATGAGAGAGGGGACTTTATAGTTCAATTTTCTTTCTTTTTTTTTTTTTTTTGAGTTGGAGTCTCACTCAGTTACCCAGACTGGAGTGCAGTGGCCACTCCCGTCCACCACAGCCTCGACCTGCTGGGCTCCGGCAATCCTTCCGCCTCAGCCTTCCAAGTAGCTGGAACTACAGGCGTGCGCTACCACGCCCAGCTCATTTTTTGATATATTGTAGAGATGAGGTCTCGCCATGTTGCCCAGGCGGGTCTCGAATCCCCGGGCTCAGCTAATTCACTCACCTCAGCCTCCCAAAGGCACAGGGTTACAGGCTGAGCCACCTAGCCCGGCTTACAGTTTAATTTTCTAAGAAGGGATTTGGTTCCTAAAACTTTGTCTTCATCTCCTTTATGTTATAATGTAATTACCTAAAACTTGTTTTTATAAGCTTTGACATTGACCCAAATGTTGGACATGGCAGGGGATTGAATTTAGAAATGTCGAAAGCAAGATTTTATTTTATTATTTATTTATTTATTTATTTTGAGTTAGATCTCACTCTGTCGTCCAGACTGGAGTGCAGTGGCCACTCCTGGCCACTGCAGCCTCAGACCCACTGGGCTCCGGTGATCCTTCCACCTCAGCCTTCCGAGTAGCCAGAATTATAGGCACGCGCTATCATGCCTGGCTGATTTTTTGATTTATTGTAGAGATGAGGTCTCACCAAGTTGCCCAGGGGGGTTTCTAATCCGTGGGCTTGGGCAATTACTCACCTCAGCCTCCAAGAGCGCGGGATTACAGGCTGAGCTACCGAGCCTGGCTGAAAGCAAGATTTTATACCATGGGAGAAGGATGTTTTTTATTTTGGACCTTGGATGACACAGCCTAAAATATGAAAAATGTCAGTTTGTATCCTTTATTGGTCCTTGTGAGACTGAGAAAATAAAAAATACTAAGACCAAGGTAGTACTTTATCTGAATATATAAATCAGTACATGTGGTTGCTGCATAATTTTCTTTTTAAATTGAAGGCTCATTTAATTAAAAGAGAGGATAATTTCCTGTTTTATATTTCTGTATCATTGAGAGAGAAGGGTCTTTCATTTTTAGGGATGTCCAAAAATGTGTGAGTCCCTTTTGCCAAAAATCCTGTCTTTGGCTCCCCTTCTTTTCTGTGACATTTTATGACTTATCTTGAAATTTGATGTGTAGCTGCGAGATTTGATGTGTAGGTACTCTTTGGAATTCACGACTCCTTAGGCATTTCTGAATTTAACAGTCATTTGCTGACTCCCCAAATATCTCTTAAGTTAACTCTTTGGATTAGTATTTTGACTTTTTTTTTTTTTTTGAGCTGGAATCTCATTCTGTCACCCAGTCTGGAGTACAGTGGCATGCTCACCGCCACTGCAGCCTTGACCTGTTGGGCACAGATGATCCTCCCACCTCTGCTTTCTTAGTAGCTGGAAACACAGGCGCACGTCACCATGCCTGGATAATTTTTTGATTTATTGCCGAGATGAGGTATCACTATGTTGCCCATGCTGTTCTCGAACCCTTGGCTCAGGCAATCCACTTGCCTTGGCCCCGCCTATTTTTAAAATAAGTATTAGGCATTCATTCTTTTACAGTAAATAATAAGCATTTCCTGTAACTGAAGTTGTTGTAAACTCATTCAGAAATACACCTCATTCTTAATGGTTTGAAAGTTATTTTATGTGAAAACTTTTTCCCTGTATTGCTTTATATCCAAATTCTGGGTATTCCACTAGAGAGAGATTTGTTACTGCCTTCAGGGAATTAATGTAGTTATGGAATAGTTTTTTATGAACAGTGTGAAACCCTGGATTCTGTATCATATATGTTGATTTGTTTTTAAACTATCTTCAGTTAATTGAAGATTTTTCTGTTACATACTGTAACTTACCACAGATGTATTTCTCATATATGACTGTATTTCCTGGTTACTCAATATGTAGTTTATGTAATGTTGTATGCGTTTGGTCAGCTAAAATTATAAAGCTTCGTATGGATTGCTCACAGTGTCTCTTTAGTTATCTATATGTTTTGTTATAATCCCTTTCAGGGTGTTTTTTGAGATGATTTCAGAGATTCTGTTTTCTTAGACTTCCCATAGAGTTTTATTGCATTGATACTCAAAACTCAAATTTTCCAAGGATATCTTTTAATTGGCTGTTTTTCTCCAGATGGTGGTGATTAAAACTTTACATATACCTTGCTGTAATTAAATTGCTGTGTTGTTCATTGGTTTTTGACTTTTGTCCTTGAAGTCCTTACAGCAAATGTTTGAGACCAAGGGTGGATCACTATATCTACATTTCTTCATTTTGTCAGTTTAATAGGCCCTTTCTAAGATAGCATAGCGTCCTTATCTTTTGTGACACCCATGCTTATTTTCTAATTTGTCACACATGACCCGAATAGTTATCTTTCAAATTATAATTATGGCTGATATACACTTAAAATACCATGGATTTCTGATCTATGCATTTTTTTCCATTTTAGGGAAAAAAAGACAAGTTGGGTAGAATTTAAAGTTTAGTAACAATGTTCCATGACCATACCTTCAAGTTTCTTCAATATACAGAAGTTACATTTCTTTAGCTTCCTGAGGTGCCAATTTTGAGCACCTAGGACTCAGGTATTATATTCCAGTATAACTTGGGCTGCAGATCCCTTTACATTTTTTTCTATTTTTTTTTTTTTTTTGAGTTGGAGTCTCACTCTGTTACCCAGGCTGGAGGGCAGTGGCGCATTCACTGCCACTGCAACCTCAACCTGCTGGGCTCATGCAATTCTTTTGTCTCAGCCTTCCACCACTCCCAGCTCATTTTTTGATTTTTCAAGAGACGAGGTTTCATTATGTTGCCCAGGCTGCTCTCGAACTCCTGGACTTAGGCAGTCCTCTCGCTTTGGCCTCCCAACGTAATGGGATTACAGACTTCAGCCACCATGCTTGGCTTGCCCATGTTTTGTTGTTGTTGTTGTTGTTGTTGTTGTTTTGAGTTGGAGTCTCACTCTGTCACCCAGACTGGAGTGCAGTGGTCGCTCCCGGCCACCGCAGCCTCGACCTGCTGGGCTCCGGCGATCCTTCCGCCTCAGCCTTCCAAGTAGCCAGAATTATAGGCATGCGCTACCACGCCCGGCTGATTTTTTGATTTATTGTAGAGATGAGGTCTCGCCTGCCCAGGTGGGTCTCGAACCCACGGACTCAGGCAGTCCATTCACCTCAGCCTCCCAAAGGCACAGGATTACAGGCTGAGCCACCGAGCCCGGCTGCCCATGTTTTATTGATCATTTTCTGTCCCTGGAAGGAATGCATAGGGCAACATAGTGTTGCAGATGAATCACATTTCGATTAAAGTTGTGTTAGTGAGTCTAAGTTTTGATTTTGTATATTTCTGTTAACTTTTAGATAACTTTGTAGCACTGTGATGTTTTAATTATTTACTATTTACAATTGCTGGTGTTTCAGTAACTAGCAACGGTTTTTTTAGTTGGAGTCTCACTCCATCACCAAGGCTGGAGTACAGTGTGGCATGCTCACGACCACTGCAGCCTTGGCCTGCTGGGCTCAGGCGATCCCTCTGCCTCAGCCTTCCAAGTAACTTGGACTACAGGCATGCACAAGCATGCTTGGCTATTTTTTTGATTTATTATACAGTTGAGGTCTTGCCACACGTCCCAGGCTGGTCTCAAACCCATGGACTCAGGCAGTCCTCTCAACCTTGGCCTCCCAAAGTGCTGGGATTATAGGCGTGAGCCACCTGGGCAGGTCTTCTAGCAACTTTTTTAGTTAAAATGATCCTTCTTCTGTAGAATTGCTAATGGTTATATTATGAAATATATTGGTAAAAATCCCTGTTGTGTTTGTTTGTAACACTGAGTAGATATTTACATATTTCTGGAATTCTATAGATTATAACATAAGCTCATATTTTATTCCTGCCATATGTATTTTTCTGACTATCCCAGAATACCAGAACTTTTGTCAAATTTATCTTTTTTTTGGCTAGATTTGACATGATACGTGTTTTTGGGGGGGTTTTTTTTGTTTTTGAGTTGGAGTCTCACTCTGTCACCCAGACTGGAGTGCAGTGCAGTGGCTGCTCCCGGTCACCGCAGCCTCGACCTGCTGGGCTCTGGCGATCCTCCCGCATCAGCCTTCCAAGTAGCTGGAACTACTGTCGCGCGCTACCATGCCCGGCTGATTTTTGATTTATTGTAGAGATGAGGTCTCACCAACTTGCCCAGGCAATCCACTCACCTTGGCTTCCCAAAGCGCGGGATTACAGGCTGAGGCACCAAGCCCCGCAAGATATATGTTAAAAGCCCTTAAAGATAATATACGTATTGTTGGAATGGTATCTTCCTCAATAGTGATGTTCATGCTACATTGGGAAATACTTGAACATGTTTACAGCTTTTTGATGAGTACTGTTTACAAGTTTATTATAAAGTATTAAATGCTTAACTTACACTGATTAAAAAATAATAATTGAATTTCCCAAGTACTTGGAATTGAATTCTCAAGATCAGGGTTTTTCACACATTTTCTGACTGGTGTGCTCCCCTTTCCCCATTTCCCATTTATCCCAACCGAAGAGTAGTATAGTGGAATACACTTGAGATATGGAAGAGGAGTAGTAGGAATAGGAAGAGAGAGGCATATATGAGTTATGTAGTTTAAGAGGCTTTAAAAAAAAAAAAAAAAAAGGCCCCAAAGCCTTGTCAATGAGGAATGGGGAAGGAGGTTTTGCTGCCAGGTTTTACTAAGTTCATTTAAATAAAACCCTGCTGGTATAGTCCTCTTTTATTAACACTTTACTGACATTTACCCTGTTAGTTGAGGCTCTTCATTGTTCCTGCACTGAGCTGTAGAATTCTCTTTTGTTATAGATTTGCAAACAAGACTTTCTCAACAGACTGAAGGTGAGTTGAATTGTTTATACTTTTTTTGTGTTTGAAATTCTATTAAATATAGTTAGACATCATTGTTATATCATTTGTTAAAGTAATTTGGACTGTTTTGACAGAATTACACATAGTTGTATATACACAGTATAGTTCAGAATATCTAGCCCAAAGCATTAATAGACAAAGGAAATGACAACATCCAGAATTCTTTTACTTTAGGTTGCTGTAAGTTTTCAGCTTATTTCTTTTCATGTTGCTTGTTCTAGTATGTCCTGTAAATGAGTTTTATGTAGAAGTCAGAAAATAAAACATTGTATTATCACCTAGTAGATAACGTCTTTTAAAACTTGGTATCTGTGAGGACAGTTTTTGTTTGTTTCTTTTTATTTGGAGTCTCACTCTGTTGCCCAGGTGGGAGTGCAGTGGCTTGCTCACAGCCACTGCAGCCTCGACCTCCTGGGCTCAGATGATCTTTCTGCTGCAGCCTTCCAAGTAGCTGGAACTACAGGCATGCTCCACCAGCCAAGCTAATTTTTCTTGATTTATTGTAAAGATGAGGTCTCTGCCGAGTTGCCCAGGCTGGTCTGGAACCATGGGCTCAGGTAGACCTTTCACCTCAGCCTCCCAAAGTGCTGGGATTATAGGTGTGAGCCATCACGCCTGGCTTGTGAGTACACTTTTTATAAGGTTTGGAGTCACAGTGTAATACTGACCATTTGGTTAAGAAATGGTATTCTGATTTCAATTTTTATAAGCCAGTAGCAAATAATAAGAGGTTTATCTAGAGCTAAATTGCATGCTTACTTCATATATTGGAATAATTTAATAAAGTAGGCTGTGCTTGTTGTTTTATCATGAAGTAAATCTCTGTCACTTGACAGATGAGCATTTCTGCTGATATGTAATTTCAGTATTATATTGTATAGAGAAATAAAGAATGCTTAACATTGTTAAGTCAAAAGATTCTATTATTAAGGGAAATGAATGATATACCATGTTCCATGACAATGAATAACTAAATGATTGTTTTAATTTTTCTAGTAAATGAAACTGTTATACTCAGTGTTTTTGTTAAGAAATTTTTAAAAGTACAAATATAGGATTTTTGCATTGGATTGTGTATTGCATTAAGCTAGGTGAAACTAGAATATCCCAGTGCACATTTTCTTAATATTCTTAAAGTATTCATAGTATGCAATCAATATAACTAGAGAAAGTAGAAAAATCTATTCTTCCTCAGCTGTTTTGTTAATATTTCTAGCATTTCCAAGGATGCTTAAATTTGTTTTATGATAAGCTACAGAGTAGTAGTCTTCATTTTTCCTTAATTGCATAATACAGACACTCTTGAGACCTATTTTTTTGAGTTGGAGTCTCACTCCATCGTCCAGGCTGGAGTTCAGTGGCACGCTCATGGCCACCCCAGTGTCGGTCGACCTGCTGGGCTCCAGCATTCCTTCTGCTTCTGCCTTCCAAATAGCCGAAACTAGAGGCACGTGCTACCATACCTGTCTAATTTTTGATTTATTGTTGAGATGCGGGCTGAGGCAGTTCTCTCGCCTTGGCCTCCCAAAGTGCTGGGATTAGAGGCTTGAGCCACATGCCCAGTGTCATTCTTGAGACTTTTTAACTTTTCTGCAAAGGAATTTGACATCAATTATTTTAGTATTTTTAATTTAATGTGAAGTTTTATTAAAGAGTTAACTGTTCATAAAGGAAAATATAAAGAAGCTAAAGCACTTGTAATTTTATCAGAAAGAGCCATTCTAATATATTTTATGCTCAGCCCTAATTTTTGTTTAATGAAGTATTTCTGATACTTTCATCAGTGATCGTTCATTTTAATTATCGTAATTTCTAATGCACTGTTTTATCCTTAGCTTTGTTTGTTATTGTGTTTTGGAATGAAATTTGGTCAGATAATATGATTACGGTGAGTTCTGTAACGGTTACTGGTACTATTTTTGTAAATTACATAAAAGAATTGGAGCAACTGTCTTGGAAAATGCTCTGACTTCAAACTTCAAACCAGTATGTGTTTTAAATTTGAATGTTAGTGTGTCCAGTATTTTTAAGTTTGATATAGTAGATATTATAGATAATAGTGGATATGATAGATACTTGCTGCTCTTTTTAGTAGTCCCGTATTGTGCTAAAATATACATAATTTTTTTTAAATGGCAATTTGGTGTTTTTTAGTGTGGGTCTTACTCTGTCACCCAGATTGGGGTGCACTAGCACAGTCACAGCTCATCACAGTCTTAAACTCCTGGTTTCAGGCAGTCCTCCACCTGAGCCTCATGAGTAGCTGAATTACAGGCACTGACCACCACAGCTCACCTACTTTCTTGTTTTTTCTTATATAGAGCTGAGGTTTCACTGTATTGCCTAGATTGGTCTTGAACTCCTGGATTCAAGAAATCCCCTCACCTTGGCCTAGTTTGATTTCTTTTTTGTTTTGAGTTGGAGTCTCACTCTGTTGCCCAGACTGGAGTTCAGTGGCCACTGCAGCCTCGACTTCCTGGGCTCCGACGATCCTTCTGCCTCAGCCTTCCGAGTAGCTGGAATTACAGGCATGCGCTACCACGCCCGGCTGATTTTTTTTATTTATTGTAGAGATGAGGTTTTGCTGCCCAGGCGGGTCATGAACCCGCGGGTTCAGGCAATTACTAACCTCAGCCTCCCAAAGGCGCGGGATTACAGGCTGAGCCACTGAGCCTGGCTAGTTTGATTTCTTAATAGGATTTATATTTCTAGGAAATTAAACCTTAAATGTTTGGTTTTATGCATCTTATTTTAACAACTTAATTGTTTTATAATTAAGGTTTACATATTTATTTTTTTGAGTTGGAGTCTTACTCCGTTACCCAGGATGGAGTGCAATGGCACGCTCACAGCCATTCCAGTGTTGACCAGCTGGGCTCAGATGATCCTCCTGCCTTAACCTTCCAAATAGTCAGAACTACAGTTGCATGCTACCATGCCTGGCTAATTTTTGATTTATTGTAGAGATGAGGTCTCAACAAGTTGCCCAGGCTGTTTTCGAGCCCGTGGGCTCAGGCATTCCTGTCACCTCAACCTCCCAAAGTGCTGGGATTATAGGCTTCAGCCACTGCACCTGGCCAAGGTTTACATATTTAAAAGAAATTTATATTCATGGGTTAAAATAAGAAGTGCAAAAGGGTATAAATTTGACATTTCAAAGCATTGTGTTTTATTATTCTTGTCTTCTAGCAATTTGTACCAATTCAGTTTTCTTTTAGATTAGAAAATATAGTTAATTTAGAAAGTCAATTAGAGAGAAAGAGGAGATTCACCTACGTAAGGTGGGGGGGGGGGACCAAAGCCAGAAAACATGCCTGTTTGCATAGCTCAGTAAGGTAGTGGCTACCAATTCAATTTTCTGTTTTGTGTTTCTGAATTGATACATTTCGAGATTTTGTTTACAGAAAGTCATTTAGATGAGGTGAATTTTCATTTCCTTTCTGAAAATAGTACACTCATATTTCTGAATGTCTGTTTCAAGTATTAGGTTGCCTTAGGTTTCTGTAAACTAAAGTATGTTCATACTTTAATAGTATTAAATAAGGTAATATTAGTGATGTGAATGACATCTTAGTTACATGTGTGGGATGGGTTTTCTGTTTTTGTCTTGAATTATTTATCAGATATACATACATGAATTTTCCATGAAACTAATTTCTTTGTCTTTTTTTTCTAGCTTCAGCTTTAGCTGCAGCTGCCTCTGTTCAGCCACTTGCAACACAGTGTTTCCAACTGTCTAACATGTTTAACCCTCAAACGTAAGTTACATACTTTGGAAAAGTTCAAGAGTTAATTCTTGATTCCTAATGAGAATCAGAAGGACATGTGGGGGACAAAAGTAAACTGCAAAAGCTGTACTGTTCAAGTTTTTAACCTAGCATTTAAGATCTATATATTTTATCATTGAAACTGTAGCATTTTACATCCTTTTAAAATAATTTTTAGGCATGTTGTTAATTATTTCTCTTGGATTGGAAGTTGGCCAGGCCCAGCGGCTCACATGTATTTCTCTTGGATTGGAAGTTGGCCAGGCCCAGCACTTCGGGAGGCTGAGGTGTGAGGATTGCCTGAGCCCACGTGTTTGAGACCAGCCTGGGCAACTTGGCAAGGCCTCATCTGTATAATAAATCAAAAAAAATCCAGGTGTGATTACGCATGCCTGTGGTTCCAGCTACTTTGAAGGCTGAGGCGGAAAGATCCCCTGAGCCCAGCAGGTTGAGTCTACGGTGGCTGTGAGCGTGTCATTGCACTCCAGCCTGGGTAACAATGTGAGATTGACTCAAAAAAAAAAAGAGCCGGGCTCGGTGCCTCAGCCTGTAATCCCGTGCTTTGGGAGGCTGAGTGAGTGGATTGCCTGAGCCCGGGAGTTCGAGACTGGCCTGACAACTTGGCAAGACCTCATCTCTACAGTAAATCAAAATGAGCCGGGCATGATATCGCGTGCCTGGTAGTTCCAACTACCTGGAAGGCTGAGGCGGAAGGATCACTGGAGCCCAGCAGGTTGCAGCTGCGGTGGCCGGGAGCGGCCACTGCACTCCAGTCTGGGTGACAGAGTGAGACTCCAACTCAAAAAAAAAAAAAAAGAAAGAAAAGGATGGGGATTAAATGAAGAATGGTGAGCCGGGTTTGGCGGGTGGGTCTGTAATCCCTTCATTTTGGGAGGCCACGGCGATTGGATTGCCTGACCTATGGGTTTTAGACCAGCCCGGGAAACTTGGTGAGACTGTGACTCTGCAGTAAGAGGAAAAAAAAAAATAGCCAGGCGTGGTGGCACATGCCTGTAGTTCTGGCTACTTGGAAAACTTAGGTGGAAGGATCACTGGAGTCCAATGGGTTGACACTGGGGTTGCCGTGAGCATGCCACTGCACTCCAGCCTGGGTGACGAAGTGAAACTCCAACTCAAAAGAAAAAATAGTATTGTACGGTTTTCTATGAAGTTATCAAAATACTTATGTCACCAATTTGGCCTCAATACTTTTTAGCTTTGAAATTTTAAACTTTGTTAATATTTGTAGAAAAGTGTATTTTATATTTTTCTTTCTTTGTTTAGTGTATAGTGTGAATTATGTATTTCCCATATTTTAGGGTTTTTCTTTTATTTTGGATAGTATTGATATTTTGTTCAGTATCTATTTATAAATGCTGCTTACATTTTTTTGTATTTCATGATGTATCATAGTCTTGGATTCTTTTGTTCTTTTTGAAAGAAAACCATAATTTGTTAGGTTTATCTTTGAAGTGGTGATAAGTTGTTGTTGGTGTATTATTTGAAAGTAGTAAATCATTTAAATTTTAATTTTTGGCTGTATACAGTGACTCAAGCCTGTAATCCCAGCACTTTGGGAGGATGAGGCGAGAGGATTGTCTGAGCCCAGGGGTTTGAGACTAGCCTGGGCAAGTTGGTGAGACTTCATCTCTACAGTAAATCCCAAAAATTATCTGGGCATGGTGCAGCATGATTCTAGTTCCATCTACTTGGAAGCCTGAAGTGGAAGGGGGTCGCCTGAGCCCAGCAGGCCCAGGCTGCCGTATTTGGGAGTGTGTCACTGCTCTCCAGCCTGGGCAACAGAGTGAGACTCCCGACTCAAAAAAAAAAAAAAATTTTTTTTTTTTTTTTTGAGTTATAGAAAGTCTTCAGCTAATTTAGAAACAATGTTTTGTGTCTGTTTTTTATTTCAGTGCCCTGTACCTCTTCTTAAAAATTCTATTTTAGAATCATGGGGACATGTGTGTTCAGCACATGGGTCCCTATACCTTTTACCATAAGGAAATTTCTAAATTTAAAGAATAAATCTTTGAAATTTTTCGACATGTTAGATAGCTTACAGTTTATTAGTTCGAATAATATTAAAGAGACCTTAATACTTTCTTACAGAGAAGAAGAAGTTGGCTGGGATACAGAGATTAAGGATGATGTGATTGAAGAATGTAACAAACACGGAGGAGTTATTCATATTTATGTTGACAAAAATTCAGCTCAGGTATTTTGATCTTTTTAATGAATGAAGTTAGGTTGTTTGCCTTAATGTTCCACTGCACTCTAGTCTGGGCGACAGAGTGAGACTCCAACTCAAAAAAAAAAAATTGTGGGGTATTATTAAGAGTTAGGTATATAAATATTCATTGTGCAGGTACTCTTGTTGATGATGTAGCACCGAGTTTTTCTAGGGGCAGCTTGAGTTAACCAACCTGAGGCCAAGTTGTATAGAACAACATCCTTACCTTTTCTTTCTTTTGTGTTTTAGGGCAATGTTTATGTGAAGTGCCCATCAATTGCTGCAGCTATTGCTGCTGTCAATGCACTGCATGGTCGGTGGTTTGCTGGTGAGTTTGAGTTTAATTTTTTTTGAGTGATTGTTACTAAGGTTCTTAAATTAAATGAAAATGCTAAATCCAACATATCTGTTTTTTTCAACAGGTAAAATGATAACAGCAGCATATGTACCTCTTCCAACTTACCACAACCTCTTTCCTGATTCTATGACAGCAACACAACTACTGGTTCCAAGTAGACGATGAAGGAAGATACAGTCCCTTATGTACATAGCTTTTTTTTTCTTTCTTGAGAATTCATCTTGAGTTATCTTTTATTTAGATAAAAATAAAGAGGCAAGGGTCTACTGTCATTTGTATACAATTCCTGTTACTTTGAAAAAATAAAAATGTTAACAGGAATGCAGTGTGCTCATTCTCCCTAAATAGCAAATCCTACTGTATACAAAGCTGTTCTCTTGTTCTGCCTTTTAAAATGTTCATGTAGAAAATTACATTAAGGAACTATAGTAATAGCTCTAGGGGAACAAATGTGCTTTCTGTAAAAAGGCAGACCAGGGATGTAATGATGTTTTTAATGTTTCAGAATCCTATCTTTTTACACGGCAGTTGCATTTCACATTTCACTAATGTTGGCTATTTGGCTAATGGTTTAGCAGACATTTCTTAATACACATTTCGTGTATGGAAATTCATCCAAACAGCTAAAGGGCTGTTGGTTAGCAACTTACCTTGCATTCTGATCAATTGGCAGGAAAGGGAGATTTCAAAATTATTTCTTGATGGTATCTTTTCAATTAATGTATCTGTAAAAGTTTCTTTGTAAATATTGTGTGTTCTGGTGTGTCTTAAGATTCCAAACAAAATGATCCCTGCATTTCCTGAAGATGTTTAGTGACAAGTCTGGTAAGCAAAGGAGTCTGAGCAAGAAATAGGAAATGCAGAAATAGGTTTTGTCTGGTTGCATATAATCTTTGCTCTTTTTAAGCTCTGTGAGCTCTGAAATATATTTTTGGGTTACTTCAGTGTGTTTGACAAGATAGCTTGATATTTCTATCAAACAAATGACTTTCATATTGCAACAATCTTTGTAAGAACCACTCAAATAAAATTCTCTTAAAAAGGCCACAGGAAATCTTCATTTTTCAAATGTTTCACAGTCATAGAAACTTGAGAATAGAATATTATCTTGACTTTTAATAGTTATTCCATATTTGCCTTTGGGGAAAAATCTTAATGTCCATATGGGGAAATCCTTAAGCTGTCCCCATCAATTTCTGAATATCATGTATATAGTTTTTTGTCAGTCTCTGTCACCCAGGCTGGAGTGCAGTGGTATACTCGTGCACACCGCAGCCTAGACCTTTTGGGCTCAGGTGACCCTTCCACCTTAGCCTTCCGAGTAGCTGGAACTATAGACGTGTATTACCACGCCCAGATAATTTTTGCTGTTGAGTCGGAGTCTCACGCTGTCACTCAAGCTAGAGTGCAGTGGCACACAGCCACCCCAGTTTTGATCTCCTGGGCTCAAGTGGTCCTTCTCCCTCAGTCTTCCAAGTAGCTGGAACTACAGGTGCACATTACCATACCCGGCTAATTTTGTTGATTGTAGAGGAGGTCTCCCCAAGTTGCCTGGGCTGGTGTCGAACCTACGTGCTAAGGCAATCCATTCGCCTTGGCCTCCCAAAGTTCTGGAGTTATAGGCAGAACCACCAAGCCCGGCCTGATTTTTTGATTAATTATAGAGACAAGGTCTCGTCAAGTTGCCCAGGCTGTTCTCAATTTCCTGAGCTCAGGCAATCCTCTCACCTCCGCCTCCCAAGTGCTGGGAGCATAGGCATCAGCCACTGCGCCTAGCCAGCACTGTACATTTTAGAGCAATGTTATTTAATCTGAGGCATTTACGAAAAAAGGGAACTAAACACACTTGTCCATGCCTTAATCCTGGGAATTCTTGGTCTCCTGTGTGTTCTGGGCACATTGCAAAAAGTTTGTTCACTATATTGCTTTGGGAGGCTGAGGTGAGTGGATTGCCAGAGCCCACGGGCTCGAGACCCGCCTGGGCAACTTGGTGAGACCTCATCTCTACAATAAATCAAAAAATTAGCCAGGCGTGGTAGCGTGCGCCTGCAGTTCCAGCTACTTGGAAGGCTGAGGTGGAAGGATTGCCGGAGCCCAGCAGGTTGAGGCTGCAGTGGAGCAGCCACTGCACTCCACTCTGGGCGACAGAATGAGACTCCCCAACTCAAAAAAAAAAAAGTACGTACAGAACAAAATAGCTTAAATTCAAACTGGTTTCTCAAATTGATTCATATATTAATACATTAAGGGCTTTTTGGCTCTTGTGCAGTGAGCCTTCACCATTTATACTCTGAACTTAAATTTTTATCTTCAACTTTTTGTGTCAGTCAAATCTTTTGTGTAGGGACTGATGCTTCCTGATACAATACTTCAAATACTTCATCACTTTTTTTTATAGTATTGAGGCACAAGTTTTGTAGGTTTAGACGGTATCAAGGTGTTGAGTTTGGGGGCATCACAATTTTCTAGCAACAATTCGATAGATATTTATCCTATTAAAAAACGGGGGGGAGGGGGATGGGATTAACAGTAGCAAATATCTGGGGCTGGGAAAACACCTTATCAACAGGGTGTCTGAATGAAACGTAATTGTACACCTAACCCTTAACTGTACCCCACAAAACCATAATAAAAAATACTGATTAAAAATAAAAATTAAAAAAAAAAAACCACAAGGTTCAATTTACTTTTTCTTTTGAGGTGGTCTCTGTTGCCAAGACGAGTGCAGTGGCACGCTCCTGGCCACCACAGCCTCAACCTGCTGGGCCCAGGCAATCCTTCGCCTCAGCTTTCCAAGTAGCTGGAACTACAGGTGCACACTACCACATCCAGCTAATTTTTTATATATTGTAGAGACAAGGTTTTGCCAAGTTGCCCGGGTGGGTCTCGAACCCATGGGCTCCCAAAGTGCTGGGATTACAGGCTGAGCCACCGAGCCCGCCCAAGTTATTTTTCAACACCAGGTAGCTGTGTTCTTTCGGGACAGAACTGGTATTCTGTGAATGTTTGGTCTTTCCCCTGCTATCTTTCCATTACCTTTTTTCCTTGAACTAAGTCCTATCAAGTTTGTCACTCCTTTTCATGATACTGGATCAGTAAATGTGACCTTTAGTCTCTTATGTTAACAATGCGGTGGTCAGAAATTGCCCACTGTCACAATGACATTTGTTGTATAAATAACGTTGAAAGGAAACATTAAAGTTTAGTAACTTGAATAGTGTAATGCATAGAAAAGAGTTCGGGCCGGGTTTGGTGCCTTAGCCTGTAATCCCAGCACTCTGGGAGGCCGAGTGGATTGCCTGAGTCTGGGTTCAAGACCAGCTCAGGCAACTTGGCAAGACTTCGTCTCTATAATAAGTGAAAAGTTATCCAGGCGTGGTAGCACGCACCTGTTCTTCCAGCTACTTGGAAGGCTGAGGCAGAAGGATCACCGGAGTCCAGCGGGTTGATGCTGGAGTGGCTGTGAGTGTTCCACGGCCCTCCAGCCTGGGCGACAGAGTGAGACTCAAAGAAACACAAAAAAACCAGAATGACCATTAGAACTCCCTTTTTTCTTTTGATTACAGGTTGACTGAGCCACCGAGCTTGGCCTCAAATGGTCATTCTGAGTGAAATCCTTTAGGTCCTTCTGAAACAGCATTTCATTGTTTGGAAAATCGGTAGCAGTTATAGCTAATCTATTATTAATTTCCTGGTGCATGCCAACAACCCCAAATAATATAGTTTCTTTTATGTTTATCATAAATTTGCCTTTTTAAAAGTTGTGATAAATACACAGAGTAGTACAGCTTAGAAAATCCACCAAGGTCTGTGTGGCCTAGGCAGGTGAGGGACATTTCTCTCATTACTACAGAAGCTATTACATGCATATCAAGTCAATTATATGAATCTTGTTAAACATTATTGATGACTGGTTAGAAATAATATAGATTTAACCAGTTGAGAAACTACAAAAATGGTGGATGTTTCAAATTGTTCTATCTCTTCTGATGAAGCCAGCAGCTATATCTGAAAAACAGTCCTAGGATAAATAACTTATTTGGAAATAAGTTAACATGCAGTATGTGAGGAAATGTAGACTTATAAATCTCAATATTCACTTTTTTCTTTTTTTTTAGTCTCTCACTGTTTTCTAGGTTGGAGTGCAGTGAGTGGCTCACTATTTGTCCAGGCTGATTGGTCTTGAACTCCTGGGCTCAAGCAATCCTTTCACCTCAGCCTCCCAAAGAGCTGGTGTTACAGGTATTAGCTATCACACTTGGCCAGTGTATCCTTTTCGAATCTCAGTTTTTCACCTTTAAAATGGTGGTAACAAGGTCAGGTGTAGTGGCTCAAGCCTGTAATCCCAGCACTTTGGGAGGACGAAGCAAGAGGATTGCCTGAGCCCAGGGGTTCGAGACCACCCTGGGCAACTTGGTGAGACCTCGTCTCTACAATACATTTTTAAAAACTCAGCTAGGTGTGGTGGTGCATGTCTGTAGTTCCAGCTACTTGGAAGACTGAGGTGGAAGGATCACCTGAGCCGAGCAGGTAAAGGCTGAAGTGTCCATAAGCATGCCACTGCACTCCAGCCTGGGTGACAGTCAGACTCCGACTCCCAAATGGTGGTAACAGCAACAAGCTTACAGAGTTGAATGGAATAATTTTAGAGTTTACCAGAATCTATGGAAGTTAATAGGCACCACCAAGTTTTCTAATTTTGGATTCACAGAACCAATCCTTGTGAAACAGACACCAACCCTACTCAGTAGACCACCTCTTTTTAGTTTAGAAGGTCTTTGTGTAGGCTGGATAATACTATGAAAATGAGAAGAAATTAATTCCTCTAATAGACACAGACTACTTACAGACTTTGTTTTATTATAGTACATGGGCTGGGGCTGATGGGAAGGTGTAGATATAGTAGGCAAACATGGTTAGCATCGGATGCCCATCCCAATTGCCATGAATGTGCCAAAGGTGCCGCCACTCTGCATCATGGTTTTCCCAATGCCGCCCATCAGCTCCCGACCCCGCATTCCGATCCTGAGGAAGAAACCAAGATGGGGCCATTTGGGAGAAAAATACATAACATAAACTGTCCTTTTCCAACCTGCTTGTCTGAGCACTTTTAAAAGTCTGGCAATCTATCTAATTTACCACTTACTGGATATTATCTCTTTCCACCTTGGATAGATAATGTCAAGGAAAATGATCCATCAGTTTCTAAGGGCATTCTTCTGATGAATCAACTGCTTTCAGTTGGTGGGAGGCAGCAGCCACAGCGTAAATTCCCTGGCAGGAAACCTGGTTTTAGGGCTCTTTGCTCCTGGTTACATATGATCCAATACACATTTGTCTGTTAGATGGTTTTCTGGTGTTAGCGATTTTTGTAGTCAGACGTGAGATTCAAGAGCCAGCTCTGCAGTTTACAAGACTATGTCAAGTGTAAAATAGGCATCACATTATTTACGAGATTGTTTTGCAAACAGTATAGAACTCAGTACAGGGCTTAACGCCAAGCTAAGTGCTCAGTAAATAGGAATGTATAATCCGGAGAAATCGGAATAACAGCTATTAAATGTGAAAATGATTTTCAGCGTGCAAAGTTGATCATCTCTGTCTCAAGATAGTAAAACCATCCAATATATTTGCTTCGTTATGCGCAACAGGAAATAAAAACAGCAACAGTAGGAACAACCAGTTATGAGCGCTTAATATGTGCCAGACTCTGTGCAAAGTGTGGTTATATGGTTCTTACAGCTGTATAAGGTGCGTATTACTGCTCTCATTCTACACTTAAGAAAATCCAGTCTCCAACTTGCCTAAAGTCACCGAACCATTAGGAGATGGGCCAGAAAGCATTGATTCTACAGCCGAGACTCATAAGCACTGACGTTTCCAACACGACCTCCCAGGATTCCTCGCCAGCAGCGGGGAACTGGCGCAAAGCAACCTTGGTTCGGGCTCCAGGCCGAGTGGGGCGGGGCAAAAGGTCCAGTAGTCCCGCCCAGAGATCACCGCCCGCGCCCCTCACCTGAGACAGGAAAAGGTGCCGAAGAGTGCCCCGGCCGCCATGCCCACGGCGCAACCCATCACAAAGCCCATCTTCACGCGGTCGAAGCAGCTAGGCTGGGACTGTCCGTAGGGGCCCACGGCCACCGGCATCTGAGGGGGGCGAGGGATAGGAAGTGCGGGCCCGGCCGTAAGCCTGGGAGTCCGGGCGGGGACGGAGTCGGCGGGGTGGGGAGACGGCCCGAGGGTTCCGGGGATAAGGGAACAAAGTCGGCGCGTAGCCCGCCTCCGCCACCCTCTTCGCGGGCACCACACAGCTCAGCGCTGCGGGGTTCTGACGGCCCCTGCCCCACCTCACCTCGCTTGCTGGCTGGGTCGCTCCGCGCTACGTCTCACGGAAAGCGAGGCTCAGGGCGCGCGCCCGAGGAATCGCTTCCGGAGCGCGAGGCAGTACTTCCGGGCGTTGGGTCCAAAGACCGCAGCCACTTCGGGCGGTGGTCTCTGGCGCTGGATCATGCTACTACGAGCCGCTTGGAGGCGGGCGGCCTTGGCGGTGAAGGCGGCTCCGGGGCCGAGGCCCGTGGTCCCCTCTCGGGGGCTGCGCCTGCGCGGTACGCTCCCGCTCGCGGCCACTCTCCCTGGAGGCGCGCACTTTTCCCTTTGCGCCGCTGAATATTCCGGAACTCCCCGTCTCGTCCTGGCGCTCAGCCCTTCTGACCCCTTCTCAAACGTCCTTTCAGATGCTGCGTCTCTCAGACATTCTCAGGCCGCGCCCTGACCGGGTGCTTTCTCCGCGCCACCCCTCATGCCCTGCCCCGCAGGCCCCCAGAGCTTTGCAGGCTCGTCCTCGGGCCTTTTTCGGCTAATTTCAGGTACAGGCCGTGGCTGCAGTCCAGCCAGCAAGAGAGTTCAACTCCTCTGGCTCCACATTCCTTCTCAACGGCCTTGCCCTTAGAACCCTCCTCTCTGCCCATGAGACAATTTGAATACTGCACTCCGAGATTCCTGTCTGTCTCCTGTGAGGGATGATGCTTTGTTTCCTTTGCGTTGAGAGTCGACCCCAGCATTCCTGGGGTTTCTCATCTCACCTCCACCTAATTTTGTTCCTCTTTTTCGATGACCTGCGTTCACAGTTGCGTCCTGTCTTACGTGGCATCCGTTCTTGTTTTTGTCAGTTGTGGACCATGCTCCCCAGTCGGTGGTTCCCTCCGACAGGATCGTGGCTCCTGAGGCGGGGTCAGTGCTACGTCCTCTCTACATGGATGTGCAAGCTACGACTCCGCTGGTAAGGACGAGGGGCAACTTTTTTCCAAGGCTGTTACTAGGAGTAAATGATAGAAATGTCAACGCACAGAAATGACCGGATCCCTGTACAAGTGCGAACCACTGAGGTGTGCTGCGAAAAGCAGTGCACTGGGTGTCAGGAGGCTTAATTGTGGTTCACTAGAAACAACCGTACTACTTACTGGCTTTGACCTTGGTCACATCACTTCAGTGCAGGCAAAAGCGCCTACAAAGTAGTGCTTAGAGTTATGGGCTCTGAAATTTGCCCTACTGCCACTTAGTAACTATGTTAACTTGGGCAAGTTTTAAATGGGCTATATGAGCCGGGCTCGGTGGCTCAGCCTGTAATCCCGCGCCTTGAGAGGCTGAGGTGAGTGGATTGCCTAAGCCCGCGGGTTCGAGAACCGCCTGGGCAACTTGGTAAGACCTCATCTCTACAACAAGTCCTAAAAATTAACCGGGCGTGGTAGTGCGCGCCTGTAGTTCCAGCTACTTGGAAGGCTGAGGCGGAAGGATCGCCGGAGCCCAGCAGGTCGAGGCTGCGGTGACCGGGAGCGGCCACTGCATTCCAGTCTGGGCGACAGAGTGAGACTCCAACTCAAAAAATAAAATAAAATAAAATAAATGGGTTATACGACATGAAGCAGCTTTGAACGTAATGAGCACGGCGATATTAATTCATGTTTTCACCAGTGTGTGAGAAGAGATGTTTGCTTGGCCCTTCATAGATCATATTGTCTGGCAGAAGTGGAAGAACCTGCCAGACAATGTGATCAGGTGTCAAAACAAGGCAATGTTTGTAGCCCCTCTGAGTGGATGGTAGAACAATTGAGTTAAGAGGAGGGGAGTAGCGGGGTTCAGGCCTGTAATACCAGCACTTTGGGAAGCAGAGGCGAGAGGATTTCCTGAGTTCAGGGGTTCCAGACCAGCCTGGGCAACTTGACAAGACCATGTCTCTGCAATAAATCAAGAAAAATTAACTGGGCGTGGTGACACGTGCCTATAGTTCCAGCTATGTGTAAGGCTGAGGTGAAAGGATGGCCTGAGTCCAGCAATTCGAGGCTGTGGTGGCCGTGAGCTCCACAGCCTTGAATTGCTGGACTCAGGCCATCTTGCACTCCAGCCTGGGTGACAGAGTGAGATTCCAATTCAAATAGAAAAAGTGGGGAGTATGTTAGGTTGATACTTGGTTAATACCCAAAGGGACAAAAGAATGTTTGAGGCCTCAGCTTTGCAGTGTCTGAAGGGCTGGGAGTTTGTTGAGGCAGGGCGGGCAAGCCTGAGGGGACCAAATGAGCCCTGAGTTGATTATGGTCTCAAGGAAACCGATTTATTTTGTTTTGCTCAGGACCCTCGGGTACTTGATGCCATGCTCCCTTACCTGGTCAACTACTATGGGAACCCACACTCCCGGACGCATGCTTATGGCTGGGAGAGTGAGGCAGCCATGGAACATGCTCGCCAGGTTAGTACAGAGAAGTCTGGCAAGTTCTGAGGTCAAAGAGAGTCAATTGCCCAAGGGAGGCGTTTTCTTCTTGGAAGGTGTGGGTGGAGATGGAAAGGATTTCGAATTCATTCTGGAAGAGATTTGGAGAGCAGCTTGGAGTGTGACTGCATACATTTGATTAGTTCCCACATTTCTAAGCTAAATGACCTTGGGCACATTATCTAATTTCTTCAAGCCTTAATTTCTTTACGTTTAAAATGGAAATGGCAGTCATTTCTACTCCCTAGGGTTAGTGGGTAGATTAAGTGAGACAATGCTGGTAAAGTGCACATAATATTTATTCAATAAGTTCATTTTTAAAAATGCCTATTTTATGTGGGACTGGAAAAGAAGTTGGGATCTGGGATGTAACTAAAATCTGTCTTTTGTATTATCCTGGTAGGTACAGAGCTTTTCCATGGGCAGTCTGATAGAGTGTCATAGAGCTCTTCTTGCTCAAGAGCTGCCCTGGCTGTGTGTACAGCCTATTTCTGCCTAGGAGTTGATCTGTATCTGTTTTCTTGGCTTGCAGCAAGTAGCATCTCTCATTGGGGCTGATCCTCGTGAGGTCATTTTTACTAGTGGTGCGACCGAATCTAACAACATAGCAATTAAGGTAAGAGGGAAATCAGAGGGCATATCTGGGCTTGTCTAACTTGGGGATAGATTCCCTCTGTCATCTGGACTCTCATATATGTATATTTCCCAGCCACCCTATTATGAAGAGAAGACACACACTCTTTCTGATTTATTGCTTCCTTCAATCCTTTGCAATTTCCTCTATCTTAAAGCTATGCTGCTTTGGTCTGAGTTCAGTGAGGTAGTTGGATAGAAGAAGAGGTGGCTCTCACTTGATTTTTTGGATGGCATTTACTTCAGAGAGTGGATGATGGTGATTGAGCCCTTTTCCCCATTCTTTTGATCTAGTGATGAGTTTCACCCTTATATATATGATTTCAGGGCTGTCTTCCTCTTAGCCTTTCCTTTTCTTTTTTTTTTGAGTTGGAGCCTCACTTTGTTGCCCAGGCTGGAATGCAGTGGCACACTCACCGCCACCCCATCCTCGACTTACTGGGCTCAGGTGATCCTTCTGCCTCAGCCTTCCAAGTAGCTGGAACTATAGGCACACGCCACCATGCCTGGCTAACTTTTTTATTTATTGTAGAGATGAGGTCTCACTAAGTTGCCCAGGCTGGTCTCGAACCCGTGGGCTCAGGCACTCCTCTAACCTCAGCCTCCCAGAGTGCTGGGATTATAGGTATGAGCCACCACACCTGGCCTCCTTTTCTTTCTGATCAGATTTGTTTGCAACAAGATATCTCCATTTTGAAGAGCTTGCAGGTGTTCACTTGGTCACCCATTCTGGGATCAGTCATTCTATCCTTGGGACATAACAGATCCTTGGTGCTAACTCAAGTAAAATTCCACTTAGTAGTCTTGTTGGTGTTTCATAGAACATAATCACATTTGACTAGGCCTGGTTGTCAGGATTATTTGAGTAAATGCTAAGGCTCTGAGAAATTGTTGCCTGCTGTAGGTTCACCTCTGGCTCCACCCCCTCTCAGTTTTATCTTTTTTTTTTTTTTGGAGTTGGAGTCTCACTCTGTCGCCCAGACTGGAATGCAGTGGCCGCTCCCGGCCACCACAGCCTCGACCTGCTGGGCTCCGGCAATCCTTCCGCCTCAGCCTTCCGAGTAACCGGAATTACAGGCATGCGCTACCACACTCGGCTGATTTTTTAAAATTTATTGTAGAGATGAGGTCTTGCCAAGTTGCCCAGGCGGGTCTCGAACCCGCGGGCTCAGGCAATCCACTCACCTCAGCTTCCCAAAGGCGCGGGATTACAGGTTGAGCCACCGAGCCTGGCTAGTTTTGTCTTTTAATTATGCTGCCAGTGTTGGTTTCTTTGACCTTGGTCTGAATGTAGGAAACCTTGGACAGGCTTCAGAGTCATCAGTACTCTGCTTGATTGTGTTAGCAGGAGAGGCATCCTTTGGAGACCAGAGAGTCAGGGTGGCGGTCCCTCCAAAGCATTTTCTTTTTATTTATTTTTTATTTATTTTTGAGTCAGAGGCTCACTCTGTCGCCCAGGCTGGAGTGCAGTGGCACGATCATGGCCACGGCCACCACAGCCTTGACCTGCTGGACTTAGGCGATGCTTCCACCTCAGCCTTCCAAGTAGTTGGAACCACAAGCAAGCTCCACCATGCCTTGCTAATTTTTTGATTTATTGTAGAGACAAGGTCTTGCCATTCCCCAGGCTAATCTCGAACTGGAACTCATAGGCTCAGGCAATCAATCCTCTTGCCTCCACCTCCCAAGGTGCTGGGATTATAGGCGTGACCCACCGTGCCTGGCAGCATTTTCAAAATGTTGAAAATGTTTGCTTTGGAAGTCTCCACAGATCCCAAACCTTGAGGCCAAGGATTATTAAGAGTAGCTGTGAAGGTTGGATGCGGTGGCTCACACCTGTAATTCCAGCACTTTGGGAGGTCAAGGAGAGTGGAGTGCCTTAGCCCAGGGTTCAAGACCAGTCTGGGCAACATGGTGAGACCTTGTCTCTACGATAAATCAAAAAATTAAGCAGGTGTGGTGGCGCATGCCTATGGTTCCAGCTACTTGGAAGGCTGAGGCAGAAGAATCGCCTGAGCCCAGCAGGTCAAGGCTGTGGTAGCCATGAGCATGCCACTGCACTCCAGCCAGGGCAACAGAGTGAGACTCTAAAAAAGAATAACTGTGGCCTTGGCTCCCTCCCCTACCTTGGGGAGGTGAATCTCTGTCTCTAATTTGCTTTCTAAATAAACTATATTTTCCAATCTAAATTTAAAAAGTAGCTGTGATGGTATTTCTCTTAGTTGCCTGGATGGATAGAGTAAAATACCTACCTGCCACTAAAGAAATCTATGCTTTGGATAAGTGAGATAGAAGAAGGTGGGTGAGGGGCGATATAAAATGTAAGTTACCTTTTTTTCTTTCTTCTTTTTTTTGAGTTGGAGTCTCACTCTGTCACCCTGACTGGAGTGCAGTGGCCGCTCCCCGCCACTGCAGCCTCGACCTGCTGGGCTCCAGCGATCCTTGCGCTTCAGTCTTCCAAGTAACTGGAACTACAGGCGAGCGCTATCACACCCGGCTAATTTTTGATTTATTGTAGAGATGAAGTCTCACCAAGTTGCCCAGGAAGGTCTCGAACCCGCAGGCTCAGGCATTCCACTTACCTCAGCCTTTCAGAGCGCTGGGATTACAGGCTAAGCCACCGAGCCCGGCTACCTTTTTTGCTCTGTGGCTCAGTCTAGAGTGCAGTGGTGTGATCGTAGCTCACTGCAGCCTCAAACTCCTTGGCTCAAATGATTCTCTTGAGTAGTTCAGTCTTCAGCCTCTTGAGTAATCAGGACTATAGGCATGTGACACCATGTCCAGCCAATATATATATATATATTTTTTTTTTTGCTTTTTGTAGAGACGAGCATCTTGCTATGTTGTCCAAGCTAGTCTCAAACTCCTGGCCTCAAGCAGTTCTCCTCCCTCAGCCTTTCAAAGTGCTGGGATTACAGGCATGATCCTATTTTTTTGTAATAATTGAAATTCCAGGAATTTTTAAACCTATCTTTATTGTTTCTTCTGATACTAAAAGTAACACATACTCACAACTTTGTTTTGTTCAATACTATGTCCTGACACCTAGAAAATTACTTGGTACATTGTAGGTTCTTAATAAATACTGGTTGACTGAATGAATGAATCATAAATATGTAAACGATATAGAGTAGAACTCCCTAATTTAATCCCATAGTGATAACCACTGTTAATAATTTACTGTATATTTCTCCAAATTTTTAAACATAAATAGTAACCTGCCTTTGGGAGGCTGAGATGAGTGGATTGCCTGAGCCCGTGGGTTTGAGACCCGCCTGGGCAGCGAGACCTCATCTCTACAATACATCAAAAAATCAGCCGGGCGTGGTAGCGCATGCCTGTAATTCCGGTTACTCGGAAGGCTGAGGCAGAAGGATCGCCAGAGCCCAGCAGGTCGAGGCTGTGGTGGCTGGGAGTGGCCACTGCCCTTCAGTCTGGGTGACAGAGTGAGACTCCGACTCAAAAAAATAAATAAATATAAATAAATAAATAAGGAGAAGAGAATAGGAAAACAAAAAAACAAAAAAAAAACCCTGTAACCTATATATCATTATCATTGCTGTTGTTGTTATTATTTTAGAGATGGGGGTCTTGCTACATTGCCGAGGCTGGTGTTGAACCCCTACTGCCAAGTGATCCTCCTGCCTCAGCCTCCCAAAGTGCTGGAATTGAAGGCATGAGTCATTGCACCCAGCCTTATTATTTTAATTGACTTTATTTTTTATGGCACTTTTAGGTTCACAGCAAAATTGAAGGGAAGGTATAGAGATTTCCCATACATCCTCTACCCCTAGGTATGCACAGCCTTCCGCCATTGTCAACATCCTCCACCAGAGTGGTACATTTGTCACAATTGATCAACTGACATTGACACATCATTATCACCCAAAAGTCCATAGCTTAAATTAGGATTCACTCACTGATGATGTACATTCTTTGGGTTTAGACAAATGTGAGTCTTTCTAGTGAATTATCAAACTTGAAATGGTTGTGTGAAACCCTGAATCTGTAGCTTAGCTGGCAGAAGTACAGGTGGCTTGAAACACCCAGGACTTGTGTCTGGCATGTGAAGTAGAAGCAGTCTTGTGTCACTGAGTCCTTAACCTGTGGAGTTTTCAGTAACTCTGGGTAGTTAGTGTCAGAATTGAATTGAATTGTAGGATACTCACTGGGTATCAGAGAATCACCCTTGACCACTTTCCTTTCACAAATGGGCTGGAAGTTGTTGCTGTCTTTCTGAGTATGTTCTCCTTTTTCCCACCACCACCCATTTCTAGGGGGTGGCCAGGTTCTATAGATCACGGAAAAAGCACTTGATCACCACCCAGACAGAACACAAATGTGTCTTGGACTCTTGCCGTTCACTGGAAGCTGAGGGCTTTCAGGTTACTTACCTACCAGTACAGAAGAGTGGGATCATCGACCTGAAGGTAGGAGTGGCTCTTGGCAAGAGGAACAAAATGGGAGGGGCCTGCCTTCAGTCCATGAATCCACACCTCAGCTAGAGCAGAAGGATTAGCTCTACCAGTTCAGGTGGCAGTTAGAGAAATAGAACTGAAAAAGAAAAATATTCTCTCCCCCTTGAGTGTGTACTGTCCAGCTTTTCTCTGGAGGACTTGTTTCTTGGCTTTGTTAATGCTTTGTGGTTTATATGAGCACCACTGGGCACTGTGCAGGATGTCAGAGACCCACATTCACCATGGCAGAGCTCTGGCCCCCTCCTTCATTGCTCTGATGTGTCTCATTGCCCTAAAGGGGAGGTGTAGTTTTCTTTTTTTTTTTTTGAGTTGGAGTCTCACTCTGTCGCCCAGACTGGAGTGCAGTGGCCATTCCGGGCCACCGCAGCCTTGGCCTGCTGGGCTCCGGTGATCCTTCCGCCTCAGCCTTCCAAGTAGCTGAAATTACAGGCATGCGCTACCACGCCCGGCTGATAGTTTTCTTGAATATTTTCCTTTCGGGCCACTTTCTTTTCTTTTTTTATTGTTATTTGTGTAGTCAGGGTCTTACTCTGTTGCCCAGCCTGGAGTACAGTGGCACTATCATGGCCCACCGCAACTTCAGCCTCAATTTCCCGAGTAGCTGGGACTACAAGCATGCACTATATACGCAGCTAAGTTTTTACTTTTTTTTGTAGAGCCAAGATCTCCCTATGTTGCTAAAACTGGTCTGGAATTCCTAACCTCAAGTAGTCCTCCTGCCTCAGTCTCCTGGAGTGCTGGAATTACAAGCATGACCCACTGCGCCTAACCCTGCTTCCTTGTATTTCCATTTTATATAGTGTGTTTACTCATCCTGTCTGTCAGATTTTGGATACCACCATCCTTAGAAAAATCTTAACTTGCTGTTTATAGACAGAACCATGAGTCTAAACTCCAGACTGTTTATTGTCATCCTTCATTGTTTCTTCCCTCTTTACATTCAGTCATCAGTCATCATATCTGTGGCATTTTCCTATAATATCTCTGGGATTATACTTCCTTATCATTTCTTTGGCTGGATTATAACCTTTGTCTTAGCTACCTCTATACTTAAGCTCTGTTGCCTAAGCTGGTCCTTTAGCTACCACCTTACAGCTTGTCTTGCAGATCTTCATCAGACTTTATTTCTAAAAAACTCATTTGACCTTTTTTTTTCACTTTACTCAAAAATTCTGAGAGATTACCCATTTCCTTTGGCACGAAGTATAACTTCATTTACCTGACATTCAAATTTCTTTACATGATGCTTTTTTAAACATTTCCAAAAATTGAGATATAATTCACATATACTAATATGCACCTTTTTGTGTGTGTGTGTCGAATATCACTCGCCTAGGCTGGAGTGCAGTGGTGTGATCATGGATCACTGCTCACTGCAGCCCCTACCTCCTGGGCTCAGGAAATCCTTCCACCTCAGTCTCCCAAGTAGCTGAGACTACAGGTGTGCACTCCCATGCTCAGGTAACTTTTTTTTTTTTTTTTTTAGACGAGATCTCCACGCTAGTCTTAGACTCCTGCCCTCCAGAGATCCTCCTGCCTCAACCTCCCAAAGTGCTGGAATTACAGGCCTGAGCCACCATGCCTGGTCCAGTTCACCTTTATAAAGTGTACAGTTCAGTATTTTTTTTAGTGTATTAACAAAATTCACCAATATGTCTCTCTGAGTATTTTCTCCTTTTTTCCACCACCACCATTTCTAGGGGGTGACCAGGTTCTGTAGATCACGAAAAAAGCACTTGATCACCACCCAGACAGAACACAAATATGTCTTGGACTCTTGCCAATATTACATTCTAGACAGTGTTCATCACTTAAGAAAGAAAGCTATCTACTTTTTCTTTTGTCATTTGTGCTTTTGGTGTCATATCCAAGAATCCATTTGTAGATCTAGAATTCTGAAGATTTACCCTATGCTTCCTTTTAAGAGTTGTATAATTTCGGCTGGGCTTGGTGGCTCAGCCTGTAATCCCGCGCTTTGGGAGGCCGAGGTGAGTGAACTGCCTGAGCCCGCGGGTTCGAGACCCACCTGGGCAACTTGGCGAGACCTCATCTCTACAATAAATAAAAAATCAGCCGGGCGTGGTAGCGCGCGCCTGTAGTTCCAGCTATTTGGAAGACTGAGGCAGAAGGATCACCGGAGCCCAGCAGGTCGAAGCTGCAGTGGCCGGGAGCGGCCACTGCACTCCAGTCTGAGTGACAGAGTGAGACTCCAACGCAAAAAAAAAAAGAGTTGTATAATTTTAGTTCTTACATTTAGGTCTCTGATCTATTTTGAATTAATTTTTTATATGGTATGAGGTAAGACTCAACCTTATTCCTCTGCATATGGCTATCTTGTTGTCTTAGCACTGTTTGTTGAAAAGATTGATTTCCCCTGTTGAATTGTCTTGGCACTATTGTCAAAAGTCAGTTGAGGCCCAGGCATGGTGTCTAATATCTGTAACTCCAGCACTTAGGGAGGCCAAGGCTGGAGGATTGCTTGTCCCCAGGTGTTTGAGACCAGCCTGGGCAACATAGTGAGACCTTGTCTCTATAAAAAGTCAAACAAATTAGCCAGGCATAGCGGCATTTGCCTGTAGTCTCAGCTACTTGGCTGAGTCCAAATGATCGCCTGAGCCCAGGAGGTCAAGGCTGTAGTGAGCCATGTTCGTGCTACTGCACTCCAACCTGGGTGACATGGTGAGACTCTGACTTTAAAAAAAAAAAAAAACAAAAAAAAAACCATATATATATATATACACACACACACACATATTTTGTTGTTGTTGTTGTTGGCTCTATAAAGAGACAGCTTTACAGAGTCATAAAATACTTTGGTTTTCCTTCTTTATCTGTTATGTGATGTTATGCCAGAGTCAGGTTGGAAACCACATTGCAAAGGAGAGTTATATTTGAGGCTGGACTTGGTGGCTCACGCCTGTAATCTCAGCACTTTGGGAAGCCAAGGTGGTAGGATTACTTGAGCTCAGGAGTTCCAAGACCAGCCTAGGCTACAGAACAAGACCTCATCTCCACAAAAAATAAAAAAATTAGCTAAGTGTGGTGGCATGTGCCTGCATTGCCAGCTGCTTAGGAGACTGAGGCAGATGTATTGCCTGAATCCAGGATGAGGCTACAGTGAACCATAATTGTGCCAGTACACTACGGCCTGCATGACAGAGTGAGACTCTGCCTCAAAAAAACAAACAAAAAAACAATTGAGCATATATATGTGGGTTTATTTTTGAAATCTCAGTTCTATCTGTATGTGTGTTTTTATGTCAAACCATACCATTTTTATTATGATAGCTATGTAGCAACTTTTGAAATCAGAAAGTATGAGTATCCCAACTTTGCTCTTCGTTTCAAGATTGTTTGGCTATTTGAGGGTCCCTTGCAACTCCATGTGAGTTTTAGGATCAGCTTTATGCAAGAAAAGCATAAATTGAAATTTTTTTTTTTTTTTGAGTTGGAATCTCACTCTGTCACCCAGACTGGAGTGCAGTGGCTGTTCCTGGCCACCACAGCCTTGACCTGCTAGGCTCCGGCGATCCTTCTGCCTCAGCCTTCCAGGTAGCTGGAACTACAGGTGCGCGCTATCATGCCCGGCTAATTTTTTATTTATTGTAGAAATGAGGTCTTGCCAAGTTGCCCAGGCGGGTCTTGAACCCGCGGGCTCGGGCAGTCCACTCACCTCGGCCTCCCAAAGGCACGAGATTACAGGCTGAGCCACTGAGTCTGGCTATAAATTGAAATTTTAATAGGGATTGATTTGAACCTGTAGACTGCTTTGGGGACTATTGCCATCTTAATAATGTTAAGTCTTCTAATTAATGAAAATGGGATGTCTTTCCATTTATATAGGTCTTTTATTTCTTTTAGCATTGTTTTGTAGCTTCCAGTGTATGTCTTGTGCTTTCTTGTTTAGATGTATTTCTAAGTATTTTATTCTGTGATGCTATTGTAAATTTTTTTTTTTTTGAGTTGGAGTCTCACTTTGTAATGTCTGGCTAACCTAGATGTTCTTCAACAGATGAATGGGTAAACAAACAATGTTACATCTGAAACATGGATTACTCTTTAATAAAAAGGAAAAAGGTTGGGCGCGGTGGCTCAGCCTGTAATCCCGCGCTTTGGGAGGCCGAGGTGAGTGGATTGCCTGAGCCCGCGGGTTCGAGACCTTCCTGGACAGCTTGGCAAGACCTCATCTCTACAATAAATCAAAAAATTAGCCGGGCATTCCAGCTACTTGGAAGACTGAGGCGGAAGGATCACCGGAGCCCAAGCAGGTTGATGCTGTGGTGGCCGGGAGTGGCCACTGCACTCCAGTCCGGGCGACAGAGTGAGACTCCAAC